TGGGTGTGAGTGTGTGGCAGGAGCTGTCTGAATGGATACTAGAAGGGGTTGGAGCCAACACAGACCAGTCACACAGACTTGAGTGAGTGGGTGTATGTGAAGGACTTCGGCGATAGTTTATGGGGGAACTTGGGAGAGGAGTAGAGGTGATTTCCAGTCTGGATCTGAGCCTGAGGAAAATAAAGGGGTAAAAGATAAAGTATGAAACTTAACAGATAAACAATGACACGTTTACATACTAGCCACTCACAAAGAAAGATGGTTCATTCCTGTTTTTAGGACAACAACTGTACCTGTGTGAAAAAGTAGGTGATGGTTCTGGGTGATGCAGAAAAACATCAACATCCTCAAGACTCTCCGGGTCAGTATGCATGGTACTGAGAGTTGCATCCCTGTCCCAGCTGCCCTTAGGAGGAGTGCAGGGCAAAGGTTTGGTCCAACGTGAGAGGAAGGATATGTGAAATGATGAAAGGAGTCTACATCCAAAGCACGCCACCAACTATGAGGGAGGAAAAAACAGTCACTGTTGACAAATATTTAGTTTGAATATATTTATTATTATATATAAAGGGGGGAAAAAAGTTACTGAAATATTACTTGGCACAAGGAGATCAGTGTTAGCATAGCCTCTGCAATCATGAGATGAATGCGCCTTTTCCACCTGTGCTTTTTAACAAAAGGAAGAGCAAGAAGCTCAGAGACTGTTGGTCTCTCTGATGGTTCTGGGGTCAACATCATCCGCAGGACTGACTGCAGCTCAACAGACAAGCCTGAAAATGCAGGAAAAACACATTTCCCACTTAAAAAAACCCATAAATTATTATCTTAAAAGAAAATATGGTCTTACCGTTGGTGAACTTTGAGGGCAGGTGACCCTGTCTGAGCTGCTGCCATCCCTCACCGCCGTTTGGCACCTCGATATTACAGGCCAGCTCCAGAATGGAAACACCCAAACTAAAAAAAGAAGGATTTTATCAAGCTAAAACCTTGTTGAATGTAATTTAATCTTCTCATTTTGTTTTTAAATACCTAAACACATCTGCAGCAGGTCCATATTCCCCGCGAAGCAGCTCGGGCGCCATGTATCTAGGATCACCCTCCTGAGCGTCCTCCTTTGCTTTCCCCTTTGAGTGCTCTTTGCTCGTCTGCTTGATTTCCATCAAGAGGCCAAAGTCCCCAAGCTTGAGACGGCCAGAGTCGGTGATGAGGACATTGGCGGGCTTTAGGTCCAGATGCACAAAACCATGAGAATGCAGGTGCTGCAGAGCAGAGAGGAGGTCGCACAGGTATGCCCATGCTGCAGGCTCATCTGGATTAACACGTTTAAAAGAAAACAATCAGTAAATCTGAGGTTCTGAGACTGACGCAGAGTTATTAAAATATATGAAAGTATTTACTGTTCGTTTATGGACTGACCTGGACCAGGAGGCTTGTTCTCAGCATGAAACAGCAAACTGGTGCTACACAGTTCTGTCTGAATGTAAAGTCGGCCATTCTCCTCCCATGCTGCCACAAAGTCCAGGATGTGAGCGTGAGGACAAACGCGCTCATGGTTTCTGGCTTCCCTCACACTCTGATTTCTGTCATTGCTACCTCTGAAGCGGTGAGCGGAGCGCTTCACAGCATACAGGCGGCCGTCTTTGTTACTTTGCACCTAGAAAAATACAGAAAATGGTAAAGATTTTATTTTAATAAACACCACAGATTCATTCACAGGGATAATGAGGAAACTATGCTGAGTAGTTTATAACAAATTATGATTGTTTACATAATTATTACATTGAAACTTCTAATTATCTATTCCATTGTTCATGAATTTTAACAGCGAAAACCTACTCTCAATTTCCTTTTTCTTTGGACCGATAAACTTTTATGATGCTTGTCCTAAACCCTTCTATATAATATTAATACTCTCATAGATGTATGACTCTTAAAATCCAGAATTTTTATTTTATTCCATGTGAAGGAATAGTATTTACATAGTCTTGCTCACCTTATAGACCTCTCCAAAGGATCCTCTTCCCAAGAGGCCCAAATTAGTAAAGCACTGACTGAAATAGGATTTGTGTTTACTGGGATCATAGACCGAATTTGGAGGTGGAGATTTGCTGAGAGAGTTAGACAGTGGCGTCCATGGAGATGGATGCTGAGAGAACATCCGACTCAGAGAGGGGCACCCCTTGGACGGTGGCAGTGGAGGGAGAAAATACGAGAGTCGAGCAGGAGAAGAGCAGGGCGATTCGGCCATGGGTGATGAGGAAAACGGGAGCCGGCGCTTCTTCAGGGAGAAGGACTGCTCTGCATCGGATAAGTGGGTCGGGAGAGGGAGAGGCACCCTGGACACGGTAGTTTCCACAGCAACTGACATTGTCTGAGACTTCTTCAGCTCCTTTTGACGAAGACAGCAAGCTGCAACATTCAGAATACAACGTTTTAATCACAAGGAAATTATATTAATTTAGGTAAATCTCCAACTGTCAAGCTCCATCAAAGCACCTCTTTTATGCTGAATATTAAATCTTGTCACTTGTAGCTAAGAATAGTTTGCCATTTATCTACAGAACAAAAGCACAAACCAAATGTGTAAATACTATCTGTAAACATATTTATCCTGTGATTAGTGAACAATTTCTAAATATAATCTATTTAGCCACAGACTATTTGTTATATTGTAAAAACAAAGGCACAGCTTAGCTGATGCAACATTTCAGCTTTTTAACTCTTGTTTTTCATCTGTCAAGTTCAAGTCAATGTTATTATCATTTCCAGCACATTTGGTACATGAGGTGGAACGAAATTATGTACACAAGGTCCCAGTTACACTCAAAAATAGCAAAATATAAAGTATACAAAGAAACAATAAATAAGGATCTAAAATATGCACTGATGTACACTAAGCAAACACCCAAACGGTATGCGAAAAGATCTAAGATATACTTTAAACACTAATAATGTAAAACAATATGGCGTAACAACAGCAGCCCGAACATGAGTCTGTGGTGAGACGATGGGTATGAATGAATACAGCATTCAATACATTCATCTTGAATGTCAAGTTTAACAGGTTGTTTAGCATTTTATCAAGAATCTCAATTTACAATGTCTTTGATGAGATTATGTCTCATTATGTGTCTTGTTGATCTTCAGGTTTTATTAGGTTGTAGACAGTTTAGTGAACAACAGACCTGCGGGGAACAGGCCCTGCAGCAGCTCAAGGCTCTCTGGTCTTATTACTTAGCAAGTATCAAACATGTGAAGAATAGTAGACAGAGCAAACAACAACAGGATCACAAAGAAACAAAGTCCCACCAAAATATATACAAAACTGAGCACAAAAATAGGTGAGAAATTAAGAAAAAAGTAGTATCCACTAAATAACAGTAAGGCAAGATAAGGATTAAATACTGGTCGATGAGATAAAACTGTGATTCAAAATGAGCAGTTAGCTACCAGCTAAACCTGAACAGGCAGGCAATAGAGAAGCCAGTGTTAAATAAATAGTCATGTTTGTCTTTAGCAGCATATTAGTTAGATTTCTACCATTGACGTTTCACTTTCATAACATTAACCATACAGTAAGTATTACTACCGCTCAATATTTACAGATACTTATCTCAACTGACAACTGTCAGCACTGAAAAATAATTTTTGGCTAACACCAAGCAGACTAATAATAACAAACACGTAACGCTGCTAGCTCAAAATTATACAGTCAAATATTTTACTGTCACTGACGCTTATAAATTGAGTAAAGCCGGATAAAATTATATTATGACACAAACCATAATCCAGTTTCAACGACTGTTTGCAAGGCAGACAAGTTTAGACAGTCTCCGTTTTCAAATCTGCAGGACTCCTGTAATCACCTCGCGCCAAATTCTGACAAGTTTACGTAGCGAGGCGTAGCTCCAGTCTGTGAATACGACGTGCTGACGTGCGTTAATTGCGCAATATCCGTGAGCGCGGTGCAGTCTGGGAGTTTTGCTGCACAGGATTGGCGTAACTCTGATCACTTGAAATGGTAACTTTATTTTACTGTTATCATGTGATTTTCTCACCTTCGTACAAAAGCGGAATTAACTTTCAAAGATTTATTCAAGAAAATTAACGTTGTAGAATTAAAAATTCACATTGTTTTGTTAGCCTGCTAAAGCTAATGGCTAGCTTCGCTTTCCATTTGTAGAGGGGTGAAGATGTTTCTTAGCTTGGTTAATCGTGGAAGCGATCTAATTTTAGTTGCTTAACTAACTCATTAAGATAGTCAGAGTAACTGGAAATGTACTGCTGTCATCGCAAATCTGCTAGTTTATCTGTTTATTCATGTTTTACTTGAATAATCCAGCCAGGTTTCGCGCTTGCTCATTGCTAAAGCTGCTAAGATCGGTGTTATTTACAACCTCTTTGTGTTTCCCGTCACCAGTTTGTATTTATTGTGTGTGAATTTATTCTTGTAAGGTTTAAATAAGCAGAGAACACGTTGACAATTAAATCACTTGTATTTAAAAGTCAATTCAAAAGCCCCTTCTAGTTGGTTTTAATTGTTTACTTTACACTAAATTAACTTTTTGTGATTTACTTCTCCAGCCTAGTAGAGTTTGTTGTGTTCTGTCTGTTTAGCAAACATTAAAATCTATTTAGACCTGAAAGAAACTTTTTTTTTAAATCCATAAATAATAAGCATCTGTATTTAATCAATTTAACAAAAAGTACATTTGAATAACATAACTAAAGTATTCTCGGTCTGAGGAAAAGCGCATGACCACAACTTCTAAATATATTCATAAAGACAACAGTACAACTGTATTAGTGTTTGGAAAGCAGTGTCTCTTCACTGTATGAGTTCACAGCAAAGGGAAAAACAGACATGTGACTGTTTACTGATTATTTTCCAGGACGTGTTTTTAATGATCCGACGTCACAAGACGACAATCTTCACAGATGCCAAGGAATCCACCACTGTGTATGAGCTGAAGCGAATTGTTGAAGGAATACTTAAGAGACCACCTGAGGACCAGCGACTTTACAAAGTAAGTTCAGGGCAAACTATTAAACATCACAAAACTTCTATTGATATGGTTAGGTTTTACAGATTATATTTACTATGCCATTGTCAGGTTTATTAAATAGTTTCACTTTAACCCTACTGGGATTTTTTTTTTCTAACTTCTTCATCTCGTTCCACAGGATGATCAGTTACTAGAAGACAGTAAAACACTGGGGGACTGCGGGTTTACCAGCCAGACTGCCAGACCTCAAGCACCAGCTACAGTCAGTCTGGCCTTCCGTGTAAATGGTACAGTTTTATTTTTTTCTGAACGTCATATTAGTTGAATTTTCTGTTCAACAATAAGCATTTGGGTTGTTGGAACAGCATTTGCAAACGAGTCTCCAGCATGTCTTGTTCCGTTTGTAGGGGTTCTCGATTTCTTCACTTGAGGTGCAGTGTTGGTACAAATTTGTACTCTAGTAGGTTAAATCGTAAACATGGAGGTGTGTACAAAGCAGGCAGAGATGGTTACAATATAGGCAATGAAATAATGTGCATGGCCTAGAGTACAGCTTTGCACACCAAAAAAAAATCAATAAGATTTTCAAATTTGAACTCGCAGACAGAATTTCGTCAGACGACAACTGAAAATCTGCCTATTGTCTTGTAATATTTTGTCAAGTTTGAGTCTCCAACAGTCATGTCCCAGTGAGACTTCCTTTTCTAATCATTTTACAATCTTTGATTCATTTTTCGAATGAGAAATTTGCAAAGTCTTGTCTCGAGCCGTCTTGTTTAATATAAAATAAAATTTAGAAAATTATTACATTTGCCAATGGAATATAATTATACTTCTGCAACGGTTTATACAGGCTGACTCTTCAAAAATAAAATATGAACAGGAAAAATAAATCTTTAAAATATGTTTCGTCTAATAAAATAAGCTGAGGGGAAAACAAAAGTATCCCACTTTGAAATAATAATATATATATTTGCATCCCAATAAATTATTTGAGCAAACAAAAAAATTAGTTACTGTATTTTTCGGACTATAAGGCGCATTAAGTGAAACAAAACAGTCATATAAGTCAAACTTTATTCAGCTCATTCACAGTAACTCAGCATTGTTCAGATGTACCACATAAAATTGGGTTGAGGTCAGTGAGCACAACCAGAATTAATACATAAGGCGCCACGGATTATAAGGCTCATTATTGATTTTTGAAAAAATTAAAAGGACTTGAAGTGCACTTTATAGTCCAAAAAATACGCTATCTACCAAATTTGCTCCAGTAATGACTCTTCATTTACTTCTACATATAATTTGTTAATTATTTGTGCAAACTGATTGGTGGTTTTTTAAATCACAAAATTGTATTCTGTTACAGAAATTTTACATACTGCAGAAAACTGGACAAAAGAGCTGCTATAGTTAACTTTTCCTATCGTGGTTCTAAAAATAAATCAATATTTTCACGTTATTTTTGATCAACGCTACAAAGAGCCACTGCAGGAGGAGCAGAGAGCTGCGTGTGGCTCCAGGGTCACAGGTTGCAGACACCTGGCTTAGTTATTTACCTTTAAGATCATGTACACAAGACAATAATCCCACTAGAGTTCGGATTTGTTGACACATCCAACAAGTCTGCTTGTCGTTAAGACTATCGGTATTTCCTAACGTCATCAACCGATTTGGATTCCTTCAGATGCGCTGTTAGCTGCACGCTACAGCAGCTTTCTGCACGTGATTTATTTGCCTTTAAACTCTCCTGTCAAGATGGAGCTCATGTTTCCCGCTCTGCTTTTCAGATGAAATGTTCGAGCAGCTGCACGTCGAGGCCTTCTCCAGCCCCCCCGAACTCCCCGATGTAATGAAGCCGCAGGACTCTGGTAGCACCGCCAATGAGCAGGTGGTGCAGTGATAGCAGCCGGAGGGGGAGAGGAGACTAGCAAAGAGGGAAGGATGGGAGTGGGTGTGTGTGGATTAGCTGCAGAGAAGTAGCACAGTGGTGGATAATATGTAATATAATTTGAATTTGATGGACAGGGACAATATAGGTGATGAATCCTATTTATGTTACTTATGATATCAGCATCCCCTCCTGACTCTCCACTGTCACTACTTCAGACATAGCTTTTCTTTAAACTGGTTTTCACATCACATGCAGTCCAGCCTTGATTTTACTCCCGACGCACCAACTGGCTCTGATTTCTGAGTGAGGAAGTTGGTTTGGATAGTAGGAGTGTGTGTAAATGTGTGTATTTGAGTTGTTTTAATTCATAGTCACTGGCATTTTTGAAAAGAGGTGGCGTCGCAGTAGTGTTTCGCAGTGCTTTTCTAGTAAGACGACTGGGTCAGAGTTCAGTATTTGAATTGGTGAACTGCATGAACAATTTCAAAACAAAAGTTTTTTTGTCCCCCCCCCCCCACAGAAACGGACAATACGTTTACTTGGTGTGAATCGCAATATTTTTGATGTACATTGCTGATTTGATTTCATATCTGGAAATAACTTTTTTTGTTGTTTTTTTTGGTCGTTTGTTTGTTCTTGTCTTATCTTATTTGTCTGTCTTGTTGTGTTTCATGCACTGAGACCGAATGCGAGGAACCTCTTGAACAGTACGGCGGTGTTTTTGGTTGGAGCACATTTTGTCTGTCACAAAAAGTAAACACCAGAGAACCTTTCCTGTGTTCTGCTTTGATTTTGTAAACGCCTACATCATGCCATCAACATTATTGTGGTACAGACACACAGACGTAGTTTATTTCTGTGATCTCGCATCAAGAATAAAAGAGTTTTGCTGTTTGTTTTTTTAATTTATTTTATTCCAACTGCCCAACTTTTCTTAAATGCTGGTTTGTGTTTATATAAAATATGCATAAAATAATTTAAAGAGAATAATTTTTCCCTCCTCACTTTGCTGAAAGGATATATACACACACAGACTACCAGTAAAATCAATACTTAGTATGTTGGATATATGAAATATCCTGTTTCACTGAATTATTGGGATGTTTTCACAAAAGGAGTTAACTAATAACGATCAAACATCGTTTATTGTTTAAGCTATGCAGAATAGCTGGACCTACTTTGAGAGCAAACCTGCTGCGTGTTTCTCATCTTGTTACTTCTGAATGTTTGTTAGTAACGAGACACATCCCCATCGGTCTAACCGTGTTAAAGGTCCGTGACTGTGTGAGGCGTCTGTAATGCAGGGTTCCCGTGCAGCCGTGAAAATTATGAATTGGATTTTTAGTTTTTAAGTATAGAAAAGTAAATAAAAATTGGAAAAAAATGTTTGTTTCCAGATAATTCTCTTAATATTTTTCCAAAGGAAAATAAATCTGGACATGTACAATTAATTAGCTCGTCCATCCAGTCAGAGTGCTTTTCACACTGTTTATAGCTCAAACATGGACATGGTTGTGCTCAGTTAGCTCCTGCTTTATCTGCTTCAACCTTTAAGTTTAAAGCTTCATGGAGAGCTTTCCTGTTTTGGTAAACGCATGCTTCGAAATGCCTCCAGGTATTTAAAATAAAGAAAATAAAAGTGCCAATTTTAGGCTCAGAAGGATTTATACAGTCCAATGCAGTACGACTGAGTAACAGGTTGTCTATGTAAAGAAGAATAAATAAAAAAGCTTTTTAATCGGTCTATCATGTTTCTTTGAGGAGAAAAGTCTAGAGTCTTTCTCAAGGATATGTTTTGACTGAACTTTATTAGCAAAGTGTCCTCAACTTTATCCAAAGTTTCAGATATAAGTAGAAGAAACTGTTCTTGGATTTACTTGATGTTTGCATTGTTTAAAAAAAAAAAAAATCTATTGGTCAGTCTTGCCTGTTGATGCAAACAGGAGTGCCCCAAATTAAAAACTATGTACCATTACATTTTAGCTTTTTTTTTTCCATTGGACAAAGTACAAATAAGTAACCAATTCCAGTGCCGCACCAGTTAAAGACTTGGGCTCATTCTACACAAAGATGGATTTTATTTATTTATTTTCCTATTTTGTTATATAGGAATTTTCAGTTCCACCTGTCATACAAATTCAACAAATTGCTGCAATATCTATTCCACACCACTAGGTGGCGAGAATGTCCACGTTAACAAATTAAAAAACCCTGAAAGAAACTCTTTGCTCGTCCAAAAACAACTATAACTTATTTTCTCTTTGATAATAATAATTTCCCCTAAATTCCTCACACAAGCAAAGTTTATTAGGAGATGTTGGGATGAAGTGGAACAGAAGAAAACCAGAAAACGACGGTTCCATTCTCGAAGTTGGACATCCGGGTACTACAGACTACGACATACCCGGATATGAAGGAGGCTGACATTTTGGTTTGGAGCAAATTCATATTATAATAATAAGTCAATATGATAATAATAATTCAAGTGCACGTGTAACGAGAAGAAGCATCCAAACAGAAAATATATTTTTTTTCCGTCTGCGAGACCGAGAAGGGGAAAATGAAAAGCTGGAACTCTTTCATCACCGCGTTCCACACGTTTTAGACACCTTTATTTTTTGTTACTGCCATGGAATAAAATAATTAAAAAAAAAAATCTTTAGGAGAGGTTACAGAACAAGTGTGGTTCTAATCAAGTTTAGCTCATCCAAACAGCCACAACACCTTGTTGTTGTTAAAACACCGTGCAGAATTTTGCAGATATTTATGATAAAATACTGAAATTGACTCTCACAGAGAGAACTTCGTCAGTTTGGGGTGAAATTAAACAGAGACACACATCTCGGTTATAATCTGGGGCATATAAATATTAGTTTTTTAGCGTTAATATTTTATTACAAGAGTTAATGTAGAAACTAAGCTAGAGTCTGGCGGAGCGCGCACCCGCGACTGCGCGCGTTTTAGGCGGTCTTTTATTTCATAATTATGACTTTGAAACTCATTTAATACCATTTGACGTTTTATTTCTTTTTATTGCATTGCTTTTATACATTTTTAAAGCTATTTCATTAAAAAAATAATCTAATTTTAGCCCTGGTTCTTAAGAGAAAATTTTAAATTATATTATTTTTATGTTAAAATAAATTAAAAGGAAACAATACAACAATAAGCCTATAGTGGATTAAAAATATATATTTCCTTTATAGTACTCCCTTTTTTGGGCACTACTTTTCATGTTTTACAGCTTCTGCTCTGTAAAAGGAGTAGATTTGAATTTTCTTACTTTTTAAACAAGCCGAAGGCAGCACAGCAGCCTGTGGAGCCGCTGCCTTCAGGAGCTTCTTCTAAATCTTTAATTTTCGACCCCAAATATGGAGCAGGAATGTCCAGGATGACGTCTTGCGTCGGTAGGGGGGGGCAGAAACTGAGTTTGTAACCACATTTATTTAAACTACGCCCTCCACTGAAGTCCTGGTAGGCATTACACAGGAAGAGAGTTGGAAAAAGAAACCCTCCCTCTCCTCTTCCTCCTCCTCCTCCTCCTCCTCCTGGTGGCGGATAACGGTGTCCAGAAGTTATTCAGACAATAGCGGCAAGACCCAGCCTCATAAATGTTGTCCACCTTGGGTGTAAAGGAGAGAAACAGCCGGCTGTGATCGTATCATGGAGGATTTAGGTGAGTAATCATGTTTTTCATCCTAAAGGATGTGTGGGAATTAAGGGGCGGTGTGCCCAAACAGAGGAAATATGCTCTGTTGATTCTGGCACTCACAGTGGGGAGCTTTTTCTACATAAACGCATGCATTTTGTTTTAAATCAGAGCATTTTTACACATACAATGGACAAAACAAAGTAATTCCTGTGACACCCTCTGACCATTTTGTGCAGAAAAGGACCACACATGATCTGACTGACCACTGCCGAGTTTTTTCCATGCACGCTCTGCAAATTCAATGAACTCTTTGTAAATTTGATTTGAACCTATCGTCGGCTGTCTTCTCCATCCGTTACCATCAATAAGTCCAGGACAGGCAGGAGAGCAAAGCCATGAACAGATGACTGGACCGTTTCATCCTAAAACCATTGGGGCTCTCTGACTCTTTGTGTTGAAAAAGGCCCTGAAATAGCCCAAAGCAACGCTGCTATTTGAGGAGAACAACCCACAGAGTTGAAGGAAAATGGACTTTTCCCCTCAGCTGCCCCGCCGTTCTCTCTCTCTCCTCATTTCAGAATTTCTCAAGCAAGACGAGCGAAGCATGGCAAGGTTTAGCCCACCACATCTGGGCACATGTGGATCAGATTTCAGGCAGTGAGACGGAGCTGCTCGGGCGCCTGCTGTTAGTCAGACCCTCAGTTTGTGCTCAACAGTGACTTTTACGTGTCGAGACTCTCAGCGAGGGAGACCACTTGTTAGAGAGGCCTTCGGCCAAGACAAACAAGTCGGCAGGCAGCTCTAAATATGGTCATAATTCCCATTAAGAGAAGTTCAGCTCCTTATATGTGCAGAGTATGTGTGTGTGTGTGTGTGTGTGTGTGTGTGTGTGTGTTCGAGGGACAGTGAGACGCAGCAGGCAGGAGGGCATGTAGTGTAAATTCTCAACACATGGTCGTACCAAAAGTGTGAATCATTGAGTGCAGAGCGGTTCCAAGGCTGGTCAGGTTCTCGTGTCTGATGAAACTGATGAGTTCAGAAAAACCTTAGAGTTCAGGTTTTATCAAAAGGAGCAGAAACATGCTCTAAAGTCACTTATGAACCGAGGAGGAAGAAAGGGATGAGTGATGAACAATTTCCAGTGTTTTTCTCCAAGTCTTAAGGTTTATTCTTTATGTTAGACACCTTTTTATGCCTGTTTTTAACTAATAATGACAGTTGTTTTGGTCAAACCCAGTGAATGATGTTATGCTCAAACCCTGCAGAGTTCTAAGATCTTGTAGCGTTTGAAGTATGGTTTGAAGATGACGCTCAGCTACTACCACACCAGACTTTAGCTTAATACCTGTAAAACTGACTGAGTTATAGACTCGTATGTGTTTTATAAGCTCAGCTGGCTGTGATGGCCATCTTTAATTGAACTGGCTCCCATAGTTAATCACGTGTGGATGTGCTTTCAATGAATATTTCCTAAATGTTTCATTAAAATTCATTCTGCAGTTCATGAGATTTTTTTGCTAACAGACTCATAAGCACACACACTCATTCACCTTTTCCTGTTCGCATCATGCAATAGTTGCCAAAACTTGTTAAAACATTTTATTTGTCACTTCTAAAATAATAGTCTGAACGTTGAGTCATTCACACTATTGTGATCCATTTTTCTTCCGTACGTTTTTCTTGTTCCACAATTTTTGTGCTTTTTCAACAAATCAATAAACGTTCAGCTCTTTCAGGACAATCCTGCTGTGACTTTTGGCATTGGTGCACCTTTAGCTTTTTAAGATATTTGACCTTTTCTGTCACTTTTTTTCTCATAGAAAATGGATAGACCTCATTTTACCGCCTTCATATCTTTAGATGTGTTTACAACCTTTTACTGCTCCTTTCACATTTTGTTCTGCTTCAACTTCTTTCAGTTTATTTGTGCAAATTTAAACTTTTTTCAGCTACTTTCAGCTGGGCTTTTTTCAGCTGTTTTGTGCTCCTTTCAGATTCTTTCTAACAACAACATTTTTATTCTTCTTCTAACTTCTTTCTGCTAGTTTAAATTTTTCTGCTATTTTAGTTACTATTTAGTTGTTTTATGCTCATTTGAGTTTTTTCAACTAATTCCAAAATTCTAGCACTCATTTAAACTTTTTTCAGCCTAATTCAGCAAAAATATGCTCTCTACTTTCTTCTGTTAATTTAAACTTCTTTCTGCCTTTTTAGCTACTTTTAAGCTGTTTTAGCTTAATTCAACTTTTTTCAGATCATTTCCACAATTTTAGCACGGTGGTGCAGCTGGTAGAGCTGCTGCCTCTCAGCCAGCAGGTCCTTGGTTCAAACCCCGGTCCGGAGGCCTTTCTGGGTGGAGTTTGTAAGTTCTCTCCGTGCATGCGTGGGTTTTCTCCGGGTACTCCGGTTTCCTCCCACAGACCAAAAACATGCATGTTAGGCTGATTGGTAGCTCTAAATTGTCTCTAGGTGTGAGTGAGAGAGTGAGTGGTTATTTGTCTCATGTTTCCCTGTGATGGACTGGAGACCTGTCCAGGGTGTCCCCTGCCACAGTGATTGCTGCACATGAGCACCGGCGACCCCCGTGACCCAAAATGGAAGAAGCGGGTAAAAGATAATGGATGGATGGATTTCTGCAATTTTGTGCTAATTTCTGCTTCTTTCAGTTAATGTTAATTAACTTTCTTTTCAGCTTTTTTTGTTGTTGTTGCTAGTTTCAACTTTTCTGCTCTTTCAGCTACTATTTAGCTTTTTTGATACTGTTATTAGCTTTTTCAGGCAATTCCACTTTTTTTTTATTTTTTTTTTAGCTCATTTCATCTCTTTTCACATCCTTCTGGTAAATTCAAAAACATTCAAGACAAGAACAACTGGACTTTATTTGTAACAGAAGTTCTTGTTTCTGTTACAAATAAAGTCCAGTTGTTCTTGTCTTAAATGTTTTTGAATTTATCATGTCCTGGATGACTGATGATCTTCACCAGCATATTCCTTCTGGTGGTTTAAGGTTCCTTCTGCCTTTTCAGCTACTTTTCAGCTATTTTTGCTAATTTCAGCATTTTTTTTTTAAGCTAATTTCCAATTTTTAAGCTAACTTCTGCTTATTTAAAGCAAATTCAGCAAATATGTTCTTTCTTCTTTCTTTTGCTAAATTAGGCTTGTTCTTCCATTTCAGCTACATTTCAGAATTTTTTTTAAGCTTATTTCAGCTGTTTTTCAGCAAGTTCTGCAAAATTCACACTGCGTTTTAGCAGGAAATGCAATTTCTCTCGTTTTCTTTATATCTCTTTTTTAATTGATTATTACGACAACTTGCTGACTTGAAACAAGCGTTCACATCTGTTTCCATGCTGTGATTAAGACCGAGGTTCAGAAGAGTTAGCAGCTAAAGGGGCATAAAACCAAACAAGCATAAATTTATCACTTTAGCTGGTGCTGCTCAGTGTGTTTATTACAAAATGCACCATTTTTGTTGTTTTTAGTTGTCAGTAAACTTTGTTTCAACCCTCCTGCAGCCTCACCTGTAAGGATACAGTGTTAGTTTTCATATTTTCACTCAGAGTGCCGTTTGACGAGAAGCATCTTGTAGGTTTAGACCGATGATGTTTGCTACGGACAAACTCATCTCTGTTGTTTCATGACGGATGGTCTGCATCACAAATGAGAGGCCTGAGGTCTTTAAAATCTGGGTCATGGAAGAAACTGTAATCTGCAGGCGTTTGTACTTAGTTTATATTAATTAATTTAGGATTTAGATTATTTTTAGAGCTCCGACATGAGATTAATTTGATCCAACTACGCACATTCTTATGTTAAATGTCTTGCTGATGTTACAAAGGGCTGTGGGTTTTTTAGTTCTTTACATTTTTGCATAAATATTTCATAAATCCAAGTCACACAAATAAATGTCGAGGAAAATCCAGTTAATCAAATAATAATAAAATTTAACAAACTTGAACTTTAGAATTAGTATTAGTATTTTTTATTTGTCTGAGTGGCAGAACTGTGCCATTTGTTTTTAGTGTCTGGTGTAGTTTGGATTATTTAAAGTGGGCTTCTATTGAGCTATAGTGGATAATTAGCATCCTACCTGTTTTATATATCTCTTTGAACGGCATCAGTTTGTAGAAAAAGACTTTAATGTTGCACGTCATGATGGAGGGATCTTCACTCGCTCTTCTGGACAGAACAGATTCCACTTCTGGGATGTTGGTGAGTCATCTCACACGAAGAGCTCGTTTAAGGTCATTCAACGACGTTATTTATTCAACAGTCAGGTCACCTGGACGGTTTCTTTCTCTTTTTTTTTTCCTGAGACGTTTCGTACTTAATCCAAAGGACTTATTCAGTCAGAGGAGCTACAAACAAATTGGAGTCTCACAAGCAACTCCTCTAAGGCAACTCCTCTTTACGGGGGAGAGGGCGGGCACAGAAACCATCTTATCACAAGCAAGCTGTTTTATTCCCACTATGGGAGTTGGTGCTTGCGGGACTCCAGTTTGTGTGTGGCTCCTCCCTCCGACTGAAGAAGTCCTTTGGATGAAGGTCAAATCATCTCAGCAAAAAGAAAAAAGAAAAGAAATCATCCAGATGACCTGACTGAACTTTGTTGGATTTGTACCTGAATTATTGAGCATGAAGTTTGACGTTATTTATTGAATTAATTTGAGCACTTTGATTCGGTCAATCCCAGACGTTTTTATTTTTTATTTTTTTATTGGTCTTTGCTGGAATTGCTTGTGTGAACACGTTCTGGTAGTTCACAAACGTCTCTCTTGAGACCGTGTTTTTAAATTAACTAATTTAATTCATAAACCATTGTTTTGTAATCAGTACAGTTGAACTTTTTTAGTGTAGATGAAACAAATGTTCCAAAAACCATTGCACCACCTCTGCTGTGCATCAAAGGGATAAGGAACAGTAACAGAATGATACTTTGGTCAAAACATATCATTTCTAGATGTAAACAAAAAGTTCAACATTATGTCCACTGAGAAGCATGTTTCTCAGAAAGCCTTGTGGCTCGATCATGTGTTCATGAAAGAACAAACAGGCCGTAACGTTGCAGTTTTTCTCTGCAGCGATGCCATTAACATAAATGTTCAGTTTTATCTTGATGGAGAACTCCTAAACATCTTGATCCTAAACATCTTGATCCTAAACATCTTGATCCTAAACATCTAAACATCTTGATCCTAAACATCTTGATCCTAAACATCT